TATTTCAAAACCTTACAAAAACACATATTTCTCAGCTTTAGAAATCCCAAAACAGGCTGGAAGCAATCAATATTTGCCATTAAGAAGCAACTTTGGATGAAGGTCAAGATGAATCCCCATATCAACTAGGTCAAGCTAACTCTTTAAGTCATCTTTTGATCTTTTATTCGCATTGAACATTGTTCCAATAAAATTTTTGCAAACATTCTTCTCTATGTGCATCAAATCAAGGTTATGACATAATAAATTATATTCCCAATAAGGCAACTCCAAAATGATACTTTTTTTTTCACAATACAAACTCATTGGGGTCATCTTTTTCATCATCTTCTTCATCACTTTGAACATTAATATTACCAATTTGAGTGTCAGTATCACCAACTTGCATAATATGAGGCCAGACACTTTCAAAGCTATCCCTTACTATTTTTCTTGATAAAGTGATTTTTTCATAAGTGAAATTGATATCTTTTAACTTTGATAAGATATTAGACCTACTAATTGGTAAAGACGATCTCTTTAACTCTTCAGTTCCATCAAAAAGATGTTTTTGGAATCTAAATTGATGATTATCATCTAACCATTGATGATGTGCCATATAACAGAACTTCCTACCATTAGGTAACCACTTCAAACATGTCTGCATAGCATAACATGGACAAGCATAATGACCTTTTGTTCTCTAACCAAATAAATTCACATAAGTAGGAAAATCATTGATAGTCCATAATAAAGCAGTATGCATTTTGAAGTTTTTTTTTTGATGCATAATAGGTCTCAACTCCTTCCTATAATTGCTTTAATTCTTTAATAAGAGGTTGTAAGTAGATATCTATATCATTACTCAGAACTTTTTCTTAAGAATTATTAGAGATAAGATAAATAACTATTGCTTGGAATCAATACATTTGGCCAAGTACTATAAAAAATACTAATCATTTTGAATGAGTTGAATCCATTAGATGCTCGTCCAAGCATAACATTTCAAAGATTAGATGCAAAGTCTGAAAACCTAGAATAAAATGATTTTCATGCCAAAAAATCTGCAGGATACCTTAATGATCTATCATCCATTCACTTCTCATGATGCCACCTTATTAAATCTAGAGTTTTTGAAGATATGAAGAATCATTGAAGTCTTGGTATTAATAAAAAATAGCATAAAACCTTAATAGGCTTTTTTTTTACATAGACCTCATCACCATCCTCATTCAACCTTTCATCGAAGTTTTTACCCACCTAACAAGAAAAACCACACAAATGAAAAAAGTTTTGATTTTTTCTATCACCCTAATATAGCATGCAATCATTGGGATAACTATGAATTTTTTCATATTCGAGACCCAAATCCTTAATCATTTTCTTTGATTCCTTATAAGATTCAGAGATTTTTGTAAAAGGAAATATTTCTTTCATAAACTCTAATAATAAATTCAGAGAGTTTCCCATCCATCTACATAAGCATTTCAAGTAAAAAAGATAAACACAGAAAGATAACCTTTAATGCTTCGATCTATCATAAAGTTCTTCATTCATATCATCAAGCAACCTATAAAACTTTGATGCTTTTCCTCTAGGTTATTGGTGACCTACACCTATCCCATGTTCACCAAATTCATTCATTTCAACATTAGACTAATAAAATCCATCATTTTAAGGGAGACAGATTATGAAAATATTGGTTATGAATGTTAAAAGCATCTCACAATATGCCTTCAATGTCATCTGCTATAAAAGGATCATGTTGGTGTTGGAAAGCCCTTGAAGTTGAAAGAACTCTAGTGGAAGACCTTGATGATACAGACTCTCCATGAAAATACTAATTAACATATCTTGAGACAAATCCAATTCAAATTAAATGTTCAAAAATAACTTCACACATTTGCCAATCAATATTAGCACACTTCACACATGGGCATACTATCATATTATCTACACTTATATTCTTAAATGCAAAGTTAAGAAAAATTTCCACTCTATCTCTCTACTCTTGACTTAATCTTGACTTTTGCATCCAACTCTTATCCATTTAGTACTTGCTATATTATCAAACCAAATTTATATAAATAATTTATATGAAACAAACATGTAAAATACTTAAGTTTACTATGTTTTAAACAAATAATAATAATAAGGTCAGTACTTACAAAAGACCAAAACTTCTTGTTGTGAAGTAATTTCTTAGCTACCCGATATAAAGCATTTAAAACTCTACTACTAACCCAGACATTACCCTAGAGTATTTGTAGTTGGGGTTGAAATAAGGTAAAACTAGTTTAGAAAAAACCCAAAAAATGAAGAAAATGAAAGGGAAAGAGAAAGGGAAGTGGATGATGGGTTCCAAATGGGTATTTAAGGAATGTGGGTTTTGGAGAAAATTTTTAAACCAAAAAAATATCACAAATTGCAAAAGCTAAAGGAATAGTATAATGAAGTAAAAACTAAAGTAAATAACTAAGGAATAGTCAAAATAAGTTCTAAAAGACAAAGCTCGAATACTAAAAGCTAAAGGAAAGGGAAAGTAAATTGTAGTTGGTCTGAAAAAAGAAATAATAGATTAATGAAGATGAAGCTTGAAGTTGGTGATTGGATGCACTAAGTTTGGGGATAATTTTATTGGAGTTTGTAAGACACACGCGCATACATCTAACAAATAGAAACATTTTCAACAAACAAACGCCTTCAATAATCGCTGTAATAATTTTGGGCTAGATTATTAAAGGCGTCTTTTATTTAAAACACCTTTAATAATTTGTTATTGAAAGCGTTTTTGGCAAAAAAATGCCTTTACTTGTTTTTTATCACTGAAGGTGATTTTCTACCAAAAATGCCTTCGAGACTCATCATAAATTTTGACTACGAGATTATTATAAGCATTTTTTACTACAAACACCTTCACAAATTGCCTGAAATTTGTAATACCTTATTTATTGGAGTCATTTTTTGCATAATACACCTTTAATAATTCCTTTAAATTTTAATGAAATGATTTTTTTAAGGTATTTCTAACTATAAACGCCTTTAATAATCTTATCTTCAAAATTATTTGAGGTATTTTTTTATAAAATACCTTTAATAATGGTCATAATGTTTATGGACATAATTATTGAAGGCATTTTTGGCATAAAACACCTTCAATAAACAAGGTATTGAAAAAATGGATTGAATTATTAAGGACGTTTTTTTAAAAAAATGCCTTCAATAAATTCTTTTTTAAAATTATTTGAATTATTAAAGCCGTCTTTTAGTGAAAATACCTTCAATAACCTCGTAGTAAAATTTTAATGGGATTATTAAAGGCATTTTTTATTACAAACGTCTTCACTAATTCCCTCAAATTTTTTGAAGAAATTTATTGAAAGCATTTTTTGGCATAATATGCCCTCAATAATCCCCTCCATTTTTATTTGGGGAATATCAGTGAAGGCGATTTTTTATAAAAAACGCCTTCAATAATCCCCTTAAATTTGAATGAGATTATTTTTTTAAGGTGTATCTAACTAAAAACGCTTTCAATAATCTCATCTTCAAAAGTATTAGAGGTGTTTTTTATAAAACGCTTTTAATAATGGTCATCATGTTTATGGGCAGCATTATTAAAGACGTTTTTAGCATAAAATGCCTCCAATAAACAAGGTATTGAAAAAATGGACCAAATTATTGAAGAGATTTTTAAAAAAAATGCCTTCAATAAATTATTTTTAAAAATTATTTAGGATTATTAAAGGTATTTTTTAATAAAAAAACACCTTCAATTATCTCATAGTAAAATTTTAAGGGGATTATTGAAGATATATTTAGCTACAAATGCCTTCACTAATTTCCTCAAATTTTTTGAAGGACTTTATTAAAGTTATTTTTTATATAATACGCCTTTAATAATTCGCTCTATTTTTATCAGAGGAATATTAGTGAAGGCGGTTTTCTACTAAAAATGTCTTTAATAATTCACTCTAATTTTTTAGAAAATTTTATTAAAGGTGTTTTTTGCATCATACGCCTTCAATAATTTTTTTAAAAAAATTTTTTGGGTTTATTAAAGGCATCTTTTAGTAAAAACGTCTTCAATAAGCTCGTAAATAAATTTTAAGGGGATTATTAAAGGCATTTTTGCTAGAAAAATACCTTCAATAAGCTCATAGTCCATTTTTAAGCAGATTATTGAAGGTGTTTTTGCTAGAAAAATACCTTCAATAAACTCATAATCAAATTTTAAGGGGATTATTGAAAGCATTTTTGCTAGAAAAATGCTTCACTTATAATTTTTATATTCATTCCCTTATCTTGAATTTCGGAATCACAAACTGCTAGTATAGAGAATAATTAAAAGTTGCATTAACTAAACCAAACCCCATAAACACTTTTAGTTTGACTAGGCGTTTCTTTATCTCTATCGTACCAAAAAGAAAAGGAAAGGGACGAAATAAAAAAATTAAAATGAGTGACACAAAAATTCATATAGACTTCAATCAATGTGGACAGCCTATGTCTAATGAAGCTACTAAGTTGGCTACTCATATTGGTGTCATCGTTCATAGTAGCATTTCAATTATGTACACCAATTGGCGATGAGTTTCTGATGATCTAAAAGTTGGTATATGATAGTTGGTTGTGGTATGTTTATTCAACTATTTCATAAAATTTGTTAAATGATCATTTAATTGAAATTCAATGTGTTCATAACAATTGTGTTAAATTATTTAGTAATGGTTCGACGTCTCAATTGACTATAAGAAACTTGTGTTGCAATCTGCTGGGAAAGCGTTTAGAGACTTTAAAAGCAGATTGACAACCCAATATATTTTACCGCTCGCTAATCAAGGTGATGTATTGGTCGTTCCATCTACGTCATATGCAAATATTATAAGTGTTAAAGATTAAAGATATTTTGTTCAAGATCAGCTATAAGAAGATTTCTCAGTACGTCAAACCCATTACCAAAAAAATTGTTTTTAAGATTTTATGCAATATATTTAATATCTTCATATGTGATTGACGTAATTTCTTTCTTTTGTAGAAAATCAAAGAAAACCAAAGGAACATTCAGGCCAAACAAATATATCACCATTGGATAGCGAGAAAGAGACACGCAAATGTGAAGTATGAGCTTGTAAGTATTCGCACACTTATTTTATACTCATAAATGAATATTTATGAACATTTATTTCATAGATTTTGATTCTTATATTATGATAATTTATTAGGAATCAGAGAGCTTTGACACCAAAGTTTTCAAATAGGATGTCTGGAAACAAAGACATCTGCGAAAGGATGGATCATTTACAGATGAAGCACCTAAAGAATTGGCTAAAAAAACTGTATGTATAACTACTTGTTTAATATCATGTATGATTGGCATTGTAGTTGTATGCATGACATTATACTAGCTTATATAGATTTATTGTTACAACCTATCTTATTATTATCTTTTAAGATGATTATGCTACCAAAGTTAAATTTGGTGAACTGGTAACCCAGTATGGTAAAGATCCATTGTCTTTAGCATTATGAGCTAAAGAAAGGCCTGATTGAGTTTGTGGGGTTGGTAAATTTGTGTTGCCATCAAAGTTTTTTAGTAATCAGCTCAAAATCCCTCGAATGACAAATGCATAATATGAAGCAATCATTGAGCAACAACAGCAATAACTTGATTACCAGGAGTAACGTTTCAATAAGCAACAACAAAAACTCGCTACTTTAGAGGCCATGTTGGCAGCAATGTAGCATAGCATGCCTATAGGCTAGTTGGATAGCATCATCCACCTAGGACAAGCTTTCATTGCAAGTCAGGCAAGGAACCCAACCTCCACTACCAGCCATGAAGTATGATTTTGTTTATAAGTTTAATATTAATTTATTTATTATATTTATTGATTTAGTTTTAATACTTATATTTCATTATATATTGTAGTAGGATGTTGGGACTCAGAGTATGACCTTTGCTTAAGCTACCATGGATGAGTTATCTAATTATTCACTCAATTATTTATCTGGAGGAAATTGCATAACCATTAAGTTTAAAAAGGGTTATTTGATAAACCATCATTTTCTTACATTGGTGTGGATGAAGTTAAAGAATTTTATGAACTGGATGAAATATCAGTTGTTGATATTGTTGCTTATATAAGATTAGCTTATAAATACAAATATACAAACTCAATATGTATTAATTTATATTACGGTGTATTACTAACTAGTGTTGTTGATTGTTATCGTTCAGCTTCCTATATAAAGAGGTCAAGACGAGACAAACGACCCACAGATTTAGATTCGCTAACTCCAACTTCATTAGTGAGTAAAGTGGCATAGTCATTTTTCATGCTAATAATGTGATTGAATGCATGAAAAAAACCAGTTGATTATTATTTGCTCCCGTATAATACGCAGTAAGTTGTATTCATACATATAATTATTCTAACCTTACTCAAATTTGATATGATGCCTAATTTGAGTATATCATTCTTATTATTTTGCAATCGTCATTGGTAGCTTATTATGATTGATACCAAATCCTTAACGCCATACTTAATTTAACTCAACCAACGGTGATGCCTAACCCCAACATTCAAACTTTTATAAAGAGGTATTACATGTTATTATATTATATATCTTTAGTTTTTTCATAAGTAATTTTATTTATGTATTAAGTAATTTTTTTTCTTTTTAATTTAGGGTAATATCTGCATTTGATAAGAAGGCAAAAAAAAAAAAAAAGGGTGTCATTACCGGTAAATATGAAATTTATTTTTTTATGCTAAGTTTGTATAGATAAATATTTCCTAAACCCACTAAATTTAATTTTCAAGTACCTCGTCAACCCGGATATACTGAATGTGGATATTATATCCTTGTTTTTATACGGGAGATAGTTTTATATGATTTTATGACCACACCATTTAAGGTTAGTATAAATTTCATAAAGTCGTTATATTTTCAAAAAATAAAAAGCTAAATTATATTCTTGTTTATTAACATTTACTTTTGATTTTTTTTTTTTGTAGGAGAGTAAAGAAAGTTTCACAGTAGAGGAACTTGATGAAGTCAGTAAGGAGTGGTGTGGGTATGTATTGTCATTTATAAATAAACCTTGAGGTTGGACATTGTTGGTTGAATGTAAATATATGAGGATCATTTGTTATAATGTTTTTAACATGCCATGTTAAATGGATAATTTAAGTTTGTAGATTGAGGTATTGGTTTAATGTTATTGGTATATATTTGTTTTATATGAATACACATATATTGAGTATGATTATTTAAAAAAATATATTAATATGACAACATTATCAGTTTTAAATTTGGATGTGTGATCAATTTATTGAAATATAACAATGTTAATAATATAAATTTCAAAATGTAATTCGTAGTATCACATATATAAACCAAATATTTTTTGGGCAAAACCTACAACTAACTTCAAATGTTTTATGGGCATAAACCTACAATTAACTTCACATATATAATTAAACCAAAGTTTTTTTTATGGGATTACTGAAGGCATTTTTAGCAAGAAAACGCCTTGAATAATCCCTAACAAAATATTATTGAATGCGTTTTTTACCAAAATTGCCTTCAATAATCCCTTATAAAAATTTATTGATTAGATTATTGAAGGCGCTTTCGACCAAAAATGCCTTCAAGAGTCCGTTCTAAATTTTTTCTATGGATTATTAAAGGCATTTTTCTACTGAAAATGCCTTCAATATTCTTTTTCCAAAATTTTTTAAATGGATTGGTGAAGGCATTTTTGCCTAGAAAATGCCTAGAATAATCCCTTATAAATAATCCATTCAAAAACTCAAAAGAAGCTAAAATGAGGGATCGAACCTATGACTTTATGGTTAACAATTATATAATCCTTAAATTTTGATAGAATATTTATTGAAGGCATTTTTTATAAAAAAAATGCCTTCAATAATCCTATGCAATTTTTTAGTGGAATTATTAAAGGCGTTTCTGCAAGAAACACTTTCAATAATCGCTTATATTTTTTATGAAGGGATTATTCAAAGCATTGTCTGCCAAAAACGCCTTCAGTAATCTCCTATCCATTTTTTAACGAAATTATTTAAGGTGTTTTATGTCAAAAACACCTTCAATAATCACTCCAATTTTTTAGAAAGGATTATTTATGGTGTTTTAGTTTATAAATGCTACTAATTTTTGTCTTGGGTCGCGTTATAAGTAAAAACGTCGCTATTTGAATATTTAGTGACGTTTTGATAATAAACACCTTAAGTTTTATAAAAATAAGAAAACTAGCAGTGTTTGTAAGTGAAACACTGCTACAAAACTGTCACTAATTTTTCATTTTCTTTTAGTGAGATTTTGGATGAGATTTTAGAAGTAGGTTTTTTTTTTTTTGTAATTTTTTTTCCATAAAAAGGAAAAGGAGAAAATAATTGTTTTCTAGTTTGATCACGTAGACAATAAGCAGACAGCTTTGAGTGGAGAGGTCTGATTTTTGAGTTATTACAGTGGCTTAAATTTACAAGTTATGAAGTTGGTCAGAAAACTTTAAACTTATGGATGTGATTTAAATAAGAGATTTTGTAGCAAATTGCAGTTGATGTTATCTATTATATCATTTGTTTAAGCTTTCAGTTTCCATTTTATGTCATGAGATGAGATTAGAGAGAGTAGTTATGAAATGAGATAAGAATCATGTAACCAAGGTAGTTTCTGACATTTGCTTTATCATATTGAAGCATCTAAATGACCCCATGGGGTACCCACGTGTCAGAAATTAATTTATACATACATATTTACTGTGGCCGCGTAGCTTCTTCAGCCTACGTAGTGAGCATCCAGAACTTTCTCACTCTTGTTTCTTTGCATCAGTGGAAAAGAGTTCGAAATAGACTTCTTGTAGGACGCTTAAGATGAAGTGAAAATATCTCATTGCACCTCCATATGGCACAAATATCCATAGATGTTGCATTGTCCTATTGGGTTAAAACCTTAGCACATGCAAGAGAAGGATCGGAACACAAAGGTTATGTGCAAACATTGGATCCTATTATTTGCTCAACCTCCAACTTTACTGCAGAACTAAGTAGAAATTCCTTTTTGTCATTCTGCTATCTACTGGTGCTGCTTCAAAGTATTAGACCATAGAAGAAGTCATGATTGAACCTCAAGTCGAGGAATCTCAATACTAGAAGAGCACTGGCGCATGAAATCTGAGCTTTCTGTCTTAGGATATAACATGCTCCTAGACAAACACAATAGAATCAATTTATAAAGCTGTAGATTTATGACTCCAGTAATCATATGTTGCTAGTTCGTTGCTTGCGTTTTATGTTCTGATATAAGTCGGTTTAAGGTGCATGTTACTTGTTGAAAATAAACGTAGTTAGAGATAAGAGTCTGTTTGGTTTAGGCCTCAAAATTCTTACCTTCGTTCTGTGTAATTTCCTGTGATTTTATGAGTGTCATCCCGAGATCTTTTTGTTTTATGTCATCTATAAATAACGCTCTTTGAGATTTCAGCCTGCACAGATTTTGTCTAATCTCCTTTGGTGAGGACTGAGAGAAGGCAGCCATGTCTTCCTTTCCGCCAACTTCTGTAGCCATCACTTGTTTATGGTACCATTCTAGCTCCGACGGTTGGGCCGAAACACCAACAATTTCTTGTGAGTTGCTGATACTATTATCTAAGTCAGATGGAGAAAACTGGTACCTGCTAATCTTGATCATGGAACTGTCTGAACATTGCGCTGTGTCTTTTACTGCCTGCACCATAGGTGTTGCATAGATTTCATCTTCATTATCAAATTGTTCTATTCCATCACAGCAAGAATGAGGTAGAGAAAGACTGCCACCTTGATTGTCCTCTATCAGTGAGCCGTCTGGTGAGTTTTCTTGGTGTTTCATTGTCTGGCCTTTTGCATGAGGTGTAGAAATGATATTAGATTTTGAGTCCTCAGCAAATAAATCCTGTAATGTTCTCGGTTGTTTGTCCACCACCCTTTCAGAAACCGACCTTCCAAATACCTCCAAAGGAGTCTGCTTCTGCTTTTTGTTGCGATACCTTTGCACTGCAAAGTTATAAGTAGATACCTTCATTGCATAATATCTCTGCCTCTTTCGGTCCATTTGACCTACATTTCTCTGCAACAGGAATGTCTAAAACCCATTTGTTCCTTGAAGCTGAATCACTAATAATAGGTTCATCCTTATGTAAGTCAAGCCATTGATCAACCTTTAAAACCGTTGTGGAGTTGCATTTTCTTGATTTTCTGCTTCCATTTTTCTTAAGGTGACTAACCCAGGCCATTTTTTGATGATTCAATGTCACTTGTGATATGTCCTGCTCTGGGAATACAACCATTTTTATGTTACATTCAGATGTGTCTTGGCTGTATACTGTGTCATTATCTATAATAGTTTTCCTGTTCAACTCCACTGCACATGTAGATCTTGAAATGCTGCGGTCAAAGTTGCACTCTGAATTATCCATCACTGGGAAAGTCACTAACTTAGCTTGCCCAGATGATTGTCTTCTCCTTCTTGAATGAATTGGATCTCTCCGCTCTGAAGGTTGATGCTCCATCCCAGTTTTTCTTCTGCTGAAAATTGTTGATCTCATAAATCTAGGCACTTGTGATCGGGAAGTTGCTGTGACATTTTCTATATTGTTCTTCGTGACGTCAAGCTCAGGAGGTTGCCCTTCAGTAGATAAATGAGAAATCTCCACCTGATCTTCCAAAGATAGACCTGTCCTTGTCAGTCCTAATTTGTCGTTTAACATTTTGATCTTTCTTCTAATATGTTGACGTTCATCTTCAATCATTTCAATCTTCTGTTGCAGATTTTTCATAGCAGCTTCCTTGTGGCTTCTTACATCCTGATTTTTTATGGTTCATCCAAGTGATCACCTTAAGTTCTAAAGATGGATTTATCATGAGATATAAGAGTTTTCTAAATGAAATTATGAGATGAGGTACAGAGATGGCAATCATTTCAAACCATCCAGGTAATGCCCGTTAATAAGTAGGAGTGTTGATGTTCAACATTAAGTATTCATTTCTTCCAAGTGAATGGTTTTGATACAGCAGAATACTTGCTGATATTTGGGTGGACTCTTATATTTCTTTTCGACAAGTTATCTTAAAAAACGAAATGCCTAGCCTAATGCAGCTTCTTCAAATCCACATTATGACTAGAGATCTATGAGATTTCTTTGTTTTATTTTCTTTCTCCCTCATTTTGTCCTTGTTTTTCAATTTCTGTTCTAGCAATTTATATGCACAGTATTTGCTGGCAGTATCTCCGCATTTTTATCTAGAATTTACTAAAATATTTATACTATTTCTACACGACACAGTTTTGAAACTCATTAACAGGTTAATTGTGCATCATCAAACTTGATACTTGTAACATTAAGTTGTGAAGTTAGATGACTATACGAAACTAGACAAGTAACTTACATTGGTCTCCTCATGCCCCAAATGAACACTTTTCACCCTTGCTGCAAAATTTAATGAACAGATTGTTTCACATAGATCTTCTTCTTTGGGACTGACATGTACAAGCATCACTGCTTTTGAATCTTCACCTAAAGATAATAAGATGAGAAGG